TTGATGACTATTCCGGAAAGCTATGGGTATTCATTTAGAAGACAAAGGATGGAACTTTTGAGAATTTCAAAAGTTTGAAGATTCTGGTCGAAACTCAAACTGGTAGAAAGGTTAAGAGGTTGAGAACTGACAATGGCCTTGAATTCTACAATGAAGCGTTCAACAATTACTGTGTTGAGTCTGGGATTGCAAGGCATAAGACTGTAGCAGGTATTCCTCAATAAAATGGCTTAGCTGAGAGATTCAATCGAACAATCCTTGAAAGGATTAATGCATGTTAGTTAATGTTGGATTGAAGAAGATGTTTTGGGCGAAAGTTGTTTCGACGGACTGAGAGTATTTGGTTGTGTGGGCTATGCTCATATTAGGCAAGACAAGGTCAAACCTAGAGCTCTGAAATGCATGTTCATGGGATACCCTGAAGGAGTCAAAGCTTATAAGCTATGGTGCCTAGAGCCAGATCACAGAAGGTGTGTCACCAGTCGAGATTTAGTTTTCAATGAAGCAGAGATGGCTTTCAAGAAAACTGATGATGCTGACGAAGAGTTGGAACAGGGAGAGATGCCTGTTGAGGTGGAGCATGTTGATGCTGAATTGCGTACCCCATACGAAGTCGAAGAAGATGCAGAAGATGTTGTCAAAGATGAGGAGACTGATAATGACTACCTGCTAGCAAGAGACAGGTCGAGGAGAGTCATCAAGCCACCTCAGAGACTTGGGTATGCATATCTTATAGCTTATGCCTTAATCTCTGCAAGTGAGGTTCTAAATGAAGAACCTAGAGACTATAAGGAAGTTATGAGGAGTCGAAAAAAGACTGAATGGCTGAAGGCCATGGATGATGAGATGAAATCTCTTCATGATAACAACACCTAGGAACTGATCAAGAAACCTGATGGACCCAAGTTAGTCAGTTGTAAATAGATTTTCAAAGTTAAGAAAGGAATCGAAGGAGTGGCGTCGAAGAGATACAAGAAAATGTTGGTTGCTAGAGGGTTCACTCAGAAAGAAGGTGTCGACTTTAATGATGTGTTCTCTCCTGTTGTGAGGCACATATCCATTCGAATGTTGTTTGCCACAGTGGCACAATTCTATCTTGAATTGGAACAGATGGATGTGAAGACTGCATTCTTGTATGGTGACTTAGATGAAACAATCCTGATGAGGCAACCTGAAGGGTATGTCGAAAAAGGTAAAGAAGATTATGTGTGCAAGATGAATAGATCCTTATATGGATTGAAACAATCTCCTCGGCAGTGGAATAGGAGATTCGACAAGTTCATGGCACGCATAAGTTTCATCAGAAGTAAGTTTGACCACTTTGTTTACTTCAGATTTCGACCAGGTAATTCATTTGTTATTTTGTTGTTCTATGTGGATGATATTCTAATAGCAAGCAACAATGTCGAAGAGGTAACGAGGGTGAAGGCTAAACTCAATAAGGAGTTCAACATGAAGGATCTGGGAGCTGCGTCCAGGATTCTTGGGATTGACATCCGAAGAGATAGAAAGCAGTCGAGATTATGCTTATCTTAAGAGGCATACCTACGGAAGATTCTCGAAAAGTATGGTATGTCGAATTCAAAGCCTGTTGTGACTATGACAAACCCTTAATTCAAGCTGAGCATAGATCAGTGTCCCAATACTGATGTTGAAAGAACTTATATGAATAGCATTCCATATGCTAATATAGTGGGTTCTTTGATGTATGCTATGGTCTGTACTAGACCCGACATAGCATATATAGTAAGTCTTGTAAGCAGGTACATGGCAAATCCTGGAAAGGCTCACTGGCAAGCATTGAAGTGGATTCTAAGGTACATAAATTGCTCTCTAAATAGAGTCATAATTTATGGTAGAGCCTTGGGTGAAGATAGTAAAGCAGCAATCGAAGGATATGTTGACTCTGGTTATGCAGGTTGTATGGATTCCAGAAAGTTTATTTCTGGATATGTGTTCACTATGTTTGGGAAAGCAATTAGTTGGAAAGCAACACTTCAGAAGTTCGTTGCCTTATCAACCACTGAAGCGGGGTATATTGCCCTAATTAAATGAGTGAAGGAAGCATTGTGGCTTAAAGGTTTTGCAAAGGAGCTGAAACTTCAAGGTCGAGTTATCATTGTTAAATGTGATAGTCAAAGTGCAATACACATGTCGAAGAATTTAGCCTATCATGAGCGAATCAAGCACATTGGTGCGAGGCTGTATTTCGTCAGAGGGGTAATCGGGCATGGAGAAGTCCAAGTGCTGAAGGTTTCGACAGATTATAATGTTGCTGATATGATCACCAAGACGTTGCCCAGTTGCAAGTTTTTCCACTGTATGCAGTTGATAAAGTTTCATGAAGAAAGCTAGTTCCTTGATGTTATAGAGTTAGATCCAAGGTGGAGATTTGTGAGATGTTGGATCGAACTCTAGTATGGTCGAAGGGTAGCTTTTGGTTCGCCAGGAATTAAACATGAGGTTGAAGTCTATTCGCATGCTTCTGTCGAAGTAATGCGTCTTGTAGTCGAAGTTTGTTCTAACATGTATTAGTCAATATTGATAGGGTTGTTAGTATGTTGAATTGGGCCTTGCTTGTAAGCCCAATTATTTAAGTTTGATTGTACCCTAAGTTAGCTTGTAATGGGTAATTGTTAAAAAACCCATTACTTTAGTGTGCTGTTTTTCTTATAAATAGGATGCTAGTTTCTCAATCTTGGCATAAGGAAAAATAGGAAGATACAATCCTAATTTCAAAAGAGAGAGGTTATTTTGTTATTCTTGTATACTTGTAATCTTGTTCTAAGAGAAAGGAAATAATAACTGTTTATAACCAATCCTTGTTATTCCTTGTTGTTTTACCTCATTTTCTTTGTTAAACCCTAACCCTCGTGTGTTTCTTGATAAGGAAAAAACCGTTTATACTATGTTTAAAGGTATCTGATTCACAATATGATATTTACGTTTGACCCACTTAGAGATTATTCTTTTTATGCACCACTTGTGACCATCCCCTAGTTTGGCCAGACCCTTGAAAAGAATCTCAAACAACTGTCATACTTGTCATTTTCATCTCGACACGTGACATATACTCTCATCTCTGTCACCTGCGTGTTTGCATACGCGCTGCCTTGTCTGGCCTCTATTTGCGGAGATTCAAGCGTCAACTTACTTGTCAATCCTTCATCTTTTGTTTATGTAGTCAAAATTGAATTCAAACATATTTGTTTTTTAGGGTTTTTTTTAGGATTTTTTTTTGTTACAATTGTTTTATTCAATTATTTGTTCAACACACCATTCATTCTTGTCTTTTCAATGGAAGAAGTTATTAATCATGGTACACCTCCAACAGTTAGTCGTAAGAGTTTGTAATTTCGATCTTGTATAGTTTATGGTATTATTCCTAATAGTATTTGGACTCTTGATTGTGATGCTACTAATCATATGACATTCGATTCCACATCACTATCTTCTAATACTTCACTTTGGAAGTATTTTTATGTCAATGTTGATGAGGGCTCTCATACTCATGTTGTTTGCACGAGAAATATTGGCTCACAACCTTCATTCATGTTACAAGTTGTGATTCACATTCTTACACTTTTCAACAAGTTAATTTTCATCCATAAGCTTACCTGTGTTCAGAATTGTAATGTAACATTTACTTCAGAACTATACCACACATGAACAATTGAAATTGCTAAAGAGAATGAAGGGATTTGCTACTTCTTTGAGGAGACAGATCATCCTAATATATTATTCTTGTAACTCCAATTCGAGTCTTTCTCTTCAACCTTGCAAATTTGACTTTTCTCTTCAACCTCGCAAATTTGACTTTTACACAAACGTTTTCAACATCCTACATTTTATATAATGAAGTCTATTTTCATCATTGTCCTTACAATATTTTGTTGAGTTTTTAAAAGGTAGTATTTGTGAGTTAGCAAAGCACAATTGTGCTTCTTTTCCTTTTACTTTTCATAAAAGTGTTGAACCATTTAATGTTATTTATTTTGATATTTGAGGACTTTTCCCCTATCTCTAATAATTTTAATACAAAATAATTTATTTCTTATGTTAATAATTATACTCGGAATAACTTAAATTTTCTTGATGAATACTAAATCAAAAGTATCGGAATTATTTACCCAATTTTATAATATGATACAAACACAATTTAAAAAACATATAAAAAAATTTTCTTCTCACAGTAATAAAGAATATGTTAATCATACTTTTTCTCAACTTATTAGTAAACATGATGTTATCTCAAAAATTACATGTGTGGACTCTCCTAAACAAAACATTTGAAGTTGTTGAATCTCTCCTATTTTAAATGTTGCTTGCTATTATTAAGAGAGAGTTGATTCTCACTGATGTTTATTTTACTAATCGGATCTCATCCCGAATCTCAGATAACATTAATCTTATTCAATTTATGCTCTTATATTTTTTCTACATTTTCATATTACTTGAGTCTCTAATATCTAATTGTGTTGTATTTGTTCATGTTCATAAACAATAACGTAATAAGTTGGATCAACGCGTGATCAAATGTATTTTTTAATGTTCCTTTTTCTCACTATCAAAACTAAGAAAAAATATGTATTTTTTTTAATGTTCCTTATACTCAATATCAAAATAAAATAAAATAAAAACTCTCAAAAAAAAATAATATAGTACTTTTATTCCTCATGTCAAGCAAGGTTGAATGCATAAAAGCATACCTACCCAATGATTATGGAATTCAATATACATTCACTAAACAATTGATAAATCATATCTTTCAATTAAAAAAAAAAGTGGAATAATTATGCAACTACAAACTAGCTATCTATCTAGGGCACTCTCCAACAACCAAATTTCACATTGACCTTAAGAACATCTGAGATTCCATGTGAGTGACTTATTCATATATTTTATTTTTTCATATAACAAAAACATTGAAAAGAAAAACTTCCACTTTAATCAACCCTAAAGTCTAAAGATTCTTCTTCCATTATCCTAACACTAAAAACTCATAATCCAAAGTATTGAAATTGACTAACTCCATAACTATTGCTCTTCAGATATTGTTCTGCTGCTCCCACTGTTACATCATCTTCATATAACCTCAATTCTTCCATCTACATAATAGCCACATTGTTATTTCAACATTATAATATATATTTTTTAAATATTTTCTAGCTTTTTCAAAATTACTAAAAATTAAAAATTCATATACCACTTGACATTATATTATATCATACCGACGTTGACAATAATATTATATCAATCAGATGCAACGTAACATAATATGTCTGAATAAACATAGCGCATCAGAGCAACAATATCTATTAGTTAGTAATATTATTTACCCAAAAATCGACTTCGTCTTCGTCTCTACACGGAACCTTAGGAATCTCGTTGGGCTCGTCATTGCGTGCGAACCTGCCACGTACTCGCGGTCGATTGTCTGCTAGTGTTTTTCGACATGCATACTGACATAAACCATAAACTCAGAAGTCAGAATCTTCTTCTTCCTCTTCTTAATCAAACTTTCATAATTACTTTACATTATAATCTTGATTACCTTAATGGTCTTATTAAAGTTTCTCTGTGTTCTCTTAGCTCTGTATTTCGAAATTTTTTCCTTTCTTTCTTCGGCGCTGTAACGCCCTACTTTGAAATTCGACTCCTCTTGCGAGTTTCCCTCCTTCGGAGACATGTTATTTTCTTTCATGTTCTGATTTTGCAACATGTTAATCAAACCTCAGTAAAATAAACTTAGAAAAAAATATATACAGAAATAGCAGAAACTTGCGAATTTACCTGCAAATCACCTGTGCTACAAACCCTTCTCAAACTATTTTCGGAGGAGCTTAAATCATGCATTTGAAATTTCGATGAATCGATAAGACTATCACGGTGAGTTTGGAACTGAAAACTCGGCTTCTTTTCGAAAGAGTTACTGCTAAAGCTTCTTTGCATGTACTTTGATACATTCTCAACACTACTGTAACTATGAGGAAGAAACTGATTATTATTGTTATAAAAATCAACGCTTAATTGCGACGACGAATCCTCGTTTTTAACTTGGGAAAGGTCGAAATCCGAGAAGCTTCCATTAGTTTGATGATAACTGGTGAGGTTATGATCAGTTGGAGGAGAGAAAGAGAAAAAGGACGGCGAAAAAGGATCTTGAGAAGGAAGAAGAGGTTCATCAAATGGATTTGAAGAAGTATTGTTGAAGAAAGGGAAGGAATCAGAGAGAAATGGAAGATCTTGAGTTCCATCATGTTCTGAGGTTGAATGTGGGTGGAAAGTTGTGGCAAAAGAATAGAGATCAGAAGACATAGAATGAATGAAAGTTGATGGTAATTGTTTGTGGTTGAAGAATGAGACAAAGAGAAAGTGGTACCTTTGTGTGTGTCTGTGTTTGATGGAGACTTGAGAGTTTTGAGAGATGAGACCAGTCCATCATAGTTTGAGTATTTTGCTGTCATTTATAACAATGTGATGCTTGTAAATTTGCCATTTTGTCCCTTTCTTTTTTATATTCTCTAAAGTAGATTAGTGCTCCTTTTTGAATTTTAAATTGTGTAACAACTGTATCATGTTATTCACTAAGCAAGATTAACTAGTAACATTGGTTTACATGTTATGTTACTGTCAAGAAATGGAGACAAAGTGAAGTTTAGTGAATAATGATTAATGATACCTCTTGAACTGAGAAATGAATTGTTCTAATGGAAGCACTTAGTTTTATGACTCAATTACATAGATGATGACTAAATAACTACTAATAAGGATAACTAATAAGCTAGAAGAGTAACCAAAATAACTGTCAACTAACTAACTATTACTTTTGTCATAATTTCGAATAGTTACATGTAAGGATGTAAAAGAGAAATGTTATGTCGGATTGTATGTATCTGATGACAATCTGTCATCATGTAATTTTTACTAGTATTTGTAATTGTTTTTATTAGTTTTCGATTAATTTTGATTAAAATTTATGAAGAAATAGAAAAAAAAAATAGGAAGTGAAAAAAACAAAGTAAAATATGAAAAGGTTGAGAAATTGTGAAGAAAAAAAGATTTTCAAAGTAGATTAGTTTAGTTTTCGATTAACTTTGATTGAGCTGAAATTTTTGCAAATGAAAATTAAAAAAAAAAGCTCTATCTAGTGGAAATTTTGTGGCAGTGATGTGACCCTTTTCTGACGCGTTTTTCTTTCTATTTAAAGGAAAAAGGCAGAGAAAAGAGGGGTGGATATTCTTGTAAAAGAATTTTGACGACAAAACAGTTTCTGGAGATCTAAAGCAAAGGTTTTCATCACTGGAAGTCAAATATAACAAGAGATTCATGTACTGTTTCTTTATTTATTTCAATTATGATTCCTATGTGTACTCTTTGAACATTAATTAATTCAACATTATTATTCAGTTACTTTATGTTCATTGTGTTAACTAATAAAACTGTGTTAACTAAAAAAATGTTAGGTTAAAATTGTATTTTTCTTCATTATGATTTCTCATATAAATACAATATAATTTCAAGCTGTCAGGTTGACTTTCAACCTACTAAATTAGCTCAACTATCATATGTACGTTTAGATCTAATTATGACTATTACAAATAAATGTGCAATCATACAATTTGATGCTTCAATAATTAGCTAGTTATTGCCAATAATTTTGTTGACATTCCCCCTCAAATTGATGCAGGTAAATCTACAAGCTTCAGTTTGCCAAGTAAAAAATTGTGTCAAGGTTTTAGTGATAACGCCAACTATTTGAAGAGATGTTGAGACATGTGGTAGATTAATGACTATTAGATCATATGTTTTTCGAATAGAGTGACAATCAACATCTATGTGTTTCTTCCGTTCATGGTAAACTGGACTTGTTGTAATATGAATGACACTGGTATTGTCAAAATGGAGCGGAGTTGGTTGTTGTTGAGAGAATCCATGCTCAATAAGAAGACTACACAATCATATTACTTTAGAACAACGGCAGACATCGCACGATATTCTGCTTCAGTGGATGACTTTGAGATTGGATCTTGTTTCTTACATTTCCATGAAATATGAGCATTTCCTAGAAACATACACCAGACAGTAGTAGATTTTCTTGTGTCTAGACATCCAGCCCAATCAGCATTACAATATGCTCGGAGTATAATTGATGAGTCAGTATGAAAAAATGTCCATGTTTTGGAGTGCCAATAAGGTATCTAATGACTCATTGTACTGATGAAAGATGGGAATTTCGTTGAGCTTGCATAAACTTACTAATGATGAGTGCAACAAAAGAAATATATAGGGAAATGATAGTTACATAGATAAAACTTCCTACTAGTTTGCGATATTGAGTGGGATCATCAAGAAGGTCACCTTCATCTCTTCTATATTTAACATTAAATTCCATGGTAGTGTCAATATGGGTTGTATTTGTGAGTCCAGCTAGCTAGACCAAGTTTTGGATATACTTTTGTTCATTTAGAAAAACACCTTTATGATGATAATGCACCTCTAAACCCAAGAAATAAGTGAGATGGTCTAACTCTTTCATATGAAAAGTTGAATGTAATGGGTGTCTGATTCTAGAAATATCATCTTGATCAGAACCAGACACAACAATATCATCCACATAAATAAGAAACACCATGATTCCTTTAGGAGTTATTTGTAGGAAAAGAGATGGATGAATTCAAATCCAAGTAGTGTCGATCAAAACTTTTCAAACCATATTATTGGTGCCTATTTTAATCCATATAAAGATTGTTTTAGTTTGCAGACAATATTAGGTAAAGGTGTAGGCATATTATTAGGAAGTTTGATGCAAACTTCCTCCTAAAGATTATCGTGGAAGAATGTGTTTTTGGATCCATTTGATGTAGTGGCCAAGCTTGTGACGCAGCAATAGCAAGAATAGTGTGTACAGTTGTTATCTTGGAAAGGACCAAACGTCTCATCATAGTCTAGTCCATATTCTTAATCATTTCTAAGCACAACTAAATGAGCCTTGTAAAAATCTATGGATCCATCTAAACAAAAACTTGCTTCCTAAAGGTTTAACAGATCAAAGACATGACACTATATCCCAAGTTTGATTTTCTTCTAAGGCAAAAGTTTTTTTTTCAATAGCTTTTTGTCAACAATCACTCTCCATGACCTATTTATAAGATGGAGGAATTAGAATAGAAGATAATGACGTTTTCATGCAATTGATATACCTTTCTAGGGGGCTTTATCACGTGATTTGCATCATAAAAAGTTGCTTATGGTTCTTCTTTTACTGGACCAACACCCAAGGAGTTATCTTGAGAAGGCCCATCCATTGGTTTATTTTGTTTGGAAGTAATACATCTCTTATAAGTCAATAGAGGTTTAGAATATTGTTGACTTGAATGAGAGTTAGAAAACAATGTCAAAACAGAAATTGCTAATGAAACAGGGTCATGATGTAATGAGAAAAAAAACATTTTCTTAGAAAATGACATTTCTAGATACATGAATCCTAAGAAGGTTATGATTATAACATAAAATCCATTTTGATGATGAGAACATTTAAGAAAAGCACATTCAACTGATTTTTTAATGAGCTTGATGTGTTCTTGTGGAGTAACATGGACAAAACACACACAACTGAGGATACGAAGAGTGGAGCATTTGGTAGGTGACCATATAACCGAGTGAAAGGGGATTCATTACTTATTGATGTTAATGACATTATGTATATAATATGGACATCGTTGGAAAAAGCTTCACACCAAAATAGTGATGGCACATGAGACTCTAACAAAAGAGTGTGAACAACATCGAGCAAATGGCATTTTTTCTATCAGCTACCTTATTTTGTTGTGGGGTTAATGGAAATAACCTTTGAGATATAATGTCATTGGATTGCAAAAATTCTTGAAATGAGTGTGACATGTATCCCCCTATTGTCAGAGAAAAATATTATTATTTCTGATGAAAATTAGGTCTGAACATAAGCATGACAAAATTTGAAAGTGGAAAAGACTTCATCTTTTGATTGCAAAATCTAACTCTGAAATTCTAAGATGAAAAATAATTTTAATATTATAAAATTCAAGGGGAGCTTATAAACCTCACTATTAAAGAGCTCTTTCTTCCTTTGAAAGTTAGTAAGTTCATCATTAGAACTTACTAATCTTTGAGCTAAACCTTCATCCATTCACTTTTTCATCACCAATTTCAGTAGATCAAGGCTTTGGAGTGTGGTTTTTGGAATTGATTTGAAGAATTTTTAGATTTGGAGTGGTAATTTCTTGATCCACCATTGTTGCTCTTGATACATCCTTTACAATATGATCTATTTTTTATTCTTGTTGCTTGATCTTTGGATCTTGCAAATTATGTTTTATTGGTGTTGATTGTTGTTATTTTAATTGAATTTTCGTGTTCAATTGCATACTTGATCATGAGGTATTTGAAGAAATGATTGATCAAGTTTTCCACATTTTAAAAGTGAATTTACTGTTGTTTAAGCAGTGGTAATCGATTACCCTCCTAGTGGTAATCGATTACAAAGTGTTAATTTTGGCTTTTTTGCTTTGTTTTGGGACTGTTTTGGTTCTTTCTTCTTATTCCCTTTCCTTTTTATTTTTGCCTTGGAATGCACTTTTAAAGGTCCTTTTCCTATTTAAATTCATTGGACTTAGGGTGTAGATGAAGTTGGATAAACATTCACTAATTTAAATCTATCTTTAAAGTGAATTGTTCAATTCATTTTAGGCGCTTTGAGTTAATGATATGTTTAGTGCTTTAATCCACCAAGATGAGTGGATGAACTTAAAGATGGAATGACTTTTAAGAGCTATAGATTCGACCTTGTCTTGCCTAATGTGAGTATAGGCCACACAACCAAATACTCTCAGTCTGTCGAGACTAGGTGGATGTCCTGAACAAACTTCTTCTAGTGTCTTCATATATAACACCGTCGAAGAACATCTGCTTATTAGATATGTTGTTGTCAAAACAGCCTCAGCCCAAAACACCATCTTTAACCTAAGACTAGTTAACATGCATCTAACTCTTTCCAAAATAGTTCAATTAAACCTTTCCGCCAAAATTTTTTATTGTAGAGTACCTGCAATGGTTTTGTGCCTTGAAATATTTAAGGCAACACAAAAACTTTTGAACGCCTCATTGCAAAATTCAAGGCCATTGTCGGTTCTCAACCTCTTGACCTTTCTGCCAGTCTGATTTTTTACCAGAGCCTTCCAACCTTTAAAATTCTCAAACTTTTCATTCTTAGTCTTCTGGATGAATACCCATAACTTTCTGGAATAGTCATCAACTATGGATAAGAAATACCTTACTCC